TGTCCCGGGAGCGGGCGCTGGACTACTACGGCCTGTACGACGACCGCGGGCGGCCCTACGGCTACCCGGCGGTGTGCGAGGAGGACCTGATGCCCGAGGACGACCAGCGCGCCACGCGGAACCTGTTCATCGGGAACCTGGACCACAGCGTGTCGGAGGTGGAGCTGCGGCGCGCCTTCGAGAAGTACGGCATCATCGAGGAGGTGGTCATCAAGAGGCCCGCGCGCGGCCAGGGCGGCGCCTACGCCTTCCTCAAGTTCCAGAACCTGGACATGGCCCACCGGGCCAAGGTGGCCATGTCCGGGCGCGTGGTTGGCCGCAACCCCATCAAGATCGGCTACGGAAAGGCCAACCCCACCACTCGCCTCTGGGTGGGGGGCTTGGGCCCCAACACGTCGCTGGCGGCCCTGGCCCGGGAGTTTGACCGCTTCGGGAGCATCAGGACCATCGATCACGTGAAGGGAGACAGCTTTGCCTACATCCAGTACGAGAGCCTAGACGCGGCGCAGGCGGCCTGTGCCAAAATGAGGGGCTTTCCCCTGGGCGGCCCAGACCGCCGGCTCCGGGTGGATTTTGCCAAAGCCGAGGAGACCCGCTACCCGCAGCAGTACCAGCCCTCGGCGCTCCCCGTGCACTACGAGCTGCTCCCCGATGGGTACACCCGGCATCGGAACCTCGATCCCGACCTGAGGGTGCGGGACAGGACCCCCCCGCACCTCCTGTACTCGGACCGCGAGCGGACCTTCTTGGAGGCCGAGTGGACCAGCCCCCCTAAGAGCTCGGAGCGCCGAAACAGCCTGGAGGGCTACAGCCGCTCGGTGCGGAGCCGGAGCGGGGAGCGCTGGGCGGATGCGGAGCGCGTGGTCCCCAAGCCCTGGGAGGAGAGGCGGAAGCGCAGGAGCCTGTCCAGCGAGCGCGGCCGCACCTCCCACTCCCCCTATGAGGACCAGCGCAGGACCAAGGGCGGTGGGCAGCAGCTGGAGCGAGGCTCTGACCGCACCCCTGAGCGCCCCCGAAAGGAGAACCACGCGGGCGAAGGGACCAAGGAAGCGGGCAGCAACTCCTTGAGCAACAGCAGGCACGGGGCCGAGGAGCGCGCCCACCACCACCACCACGACGCCCCCGAGGCTTCCCACGGGAAGAAGGGCAGAGACAGCGAGCGCAATCATCGGACCGCCGAGGCAGAGGCCAAGCCACCCGAAGAGCCCAAACACGAGACCAAAAAGCTCAAGACTCTCTCCGAGTATGCCCAGACGCTCCAGTTGGGTTGGAACGGGCTGCTTGTGCTGAAAAACAGCTGCTTCTCAACATCTATGCACATTCTAGAGGGGGACCAGGGGGTCATCAGCGGTCTCCTCAAAGACCACGCCTCCGGGAGTAAGCTAACCCAGCTGAAGATCGCCCAGCGCCTTCGGCTGGACCAACCCAAGCTGGACGAGGTCACGCGCCGCATCAAACAGGGGAGCCCCAATGGTTACGCCGTGCTCCTGGCCACCCAGGCCACCCCCGGCGGGCCTGGCACCGAGGGGACGCCCTCCGTGGAGCCCGGCCTGCAGAGGCGGCTTCTCAGGAACTTGGTCTCCTACTTGAAACAGAAGCAGGCGGCGGGGGTCATCAGCCTGCCGGTGGGGGGGTCCAAGGGCAGAGACAGCACGGGCATGCTCTATGCCTTCCCGCCCTGCGACTTTTCCCAGCAGTACCTCCAGTCGGCACTGAGGACATTGGGCAAGCTAGAGGAGGAGCACATGGTGATCGTGATAGTGAGGGATGCGGCGTAGCCCACACCTGTCTTTGCTGACTGTGTTTCTTTGTGTCACAAAAGCAGTTATTTCAAAGTCTGACCCTGTCCCTCCCCTGCACCCTCGTTCCATTCTTTGCTGGGTTGCTTTGGTTTGTTTGGTGATGAGGGCCAGCCCGTCACCAAAACAGCTTTATTTTTACAGTCATGAGAAGGGACTCCTGCCATGTTGATTTCTAGTGTATGAGATTCTGTCTGCTGTGTTCTGTATTTTTTTATACTTTGACTAACTGTATGGAAAGTTGTCAGTAAAGCCTTTGGCAGAGGATGGATTTTTAATCCTGTCGAGAGTCCTGATTTGGTCGTTTCTCCTCAAGGAGGGGGTCCTTCCTGTGTACACAGGTGTTCATGATCTGATCCTCTCATGGCCGGAAGCCCTGCCTCCCCGGCTTGTTCACTTGATTTAATCTTGGCTAGAGGCAGGTGGGGCTCTGTTGAGGTTCTGGACCTGCCAGAGGCCGGCCACAGAGTGCAGGGAGAGGGTGCCCAAGGCCTGACACCAGCAGCCAGCGGTAGGTGTGTGTTCTTGTTACTCTGAACGAGTGTGACCGGCAGCTCGAGCTGCTGCTGTCAGAACGCCTGGTCTTGGGAATTTGTCCTGCAGTGATGGAAGCGGCCGAGTGGGGTCAGGGCCAAGAGGCCTCTGTGCCTGAGCTGCCTGGGTCTGCCCAGGTACGTGCTCACACCCTTCAGATGGAGATGGCCAGTGTTGGAGAGAGTTCAGCATTGGGGAATCTGAGGGGGTACAGAGATTGGACAATTAACTTGGGAATTAACTTTGTTAATTTGGAACTCCACCGTGTTAATGAATTTACGCTCTTGGGTCAGGTGGCCCTGTGGCCCGTGGTCATACCTAGAGCTTTGTGAGGGACACAGAGCAAGCCCCCCCCGGCCTGAAGTGGCGATGCTTCAGGGCTGTCCTGTGGAGAAGAAAGTGGTTTGGGTAATTGGCAGTGTCCCCAGTATGAAGTGGGGGTATGTGCCAAGGCCTCTTGCCCTGAGGTGAGCAGTGGGGCCTCGGGGAGACGGGTGATTCTGCGCGCCTGGATTCACGGTCATGGCCGCTATGCTGGCCATGCCAGTGAGGGGGAGGGGTCCGTTCTGCCCACAGCGTTTCTGGGTGCCATGAATGGCCAGCAGTTGTGGCCCCGGAATGTGGCCCCTCAGAATCTATCTGTGGCAGCTTGAGCGTTCCGGGAGGGGATCGTGGTCAGGTGACGGAAGCTCTAGGTGAGCGAGTACTGTGTGCAGCCTTCAGCACTGCCCCCTCTGTGGCAGCGAGCAGTCAGCTAGCGAGTTTTGAGGAGCAATGTGACTGGGGCTCTGCAGGCTGTTGGCAGGGAGAGGGGTAGCACCCCATCTGAATTAGAGGATGGGGGAGAAGTGCTGCTCATGAGCTTCAGCAGGTGCTCAGGGGAGAAGTTCCATCAAATGTGTTGCTGTGCCTGATTAGTGGCCACACCTGCGCTCCCCTCCCCCCACCCCAGGCTGCTGGCGCCTCGGCCCCAGGCCCCACCTCACTCAGCTGAGGTGTCTGGTGCTGGAGGTGCCTCACCTGGGTCCCTGCCGCAGAGTAGTGGTCAGAATACATCTGAGCTGCAAGTTGGAGAAGGCACCTCAGAGCCTTGGCCCTTGCTGGTCAGGGACAGTCCTCTAGCCTCAGAGTTATGTCACTAGCACTGTGACTTCCCCCCTTTTGTCTTCTCAATCACTTCTTCCTAACACATGGCCTGTGTGGATCTCAGAATGGTCTTGCTACACATAAACAAGGTGGGCCAGGGCCTGGTAAGCTGGCACTGTCCCCAGGAGGAAGCTAGCTAACTGGGTCAACCCTGATGGAGAATGCTTTAAGGGGAAGAAACACTTCACATTGAAATTTTCCTCACTGATACAATTTGCTGCGATACTGTATCTAAATGATCCCAATTCTGAGCCTTAGTAAAAATAAGCAATAGGGGTGGGTGTGTCCCTGCCTCTTAGGACCCTTTCCCAGGAGATGTTGTCAAGTCAACCAGGATTCTGCTTCCCTAATAGAAGGAGGCCTGCCCTGTGGGCCCCAAGGTTTCACAGTTGAGGACAGCAGTACTCTTATTTTTCACCTGATTCTTCTAAAGCAGACTATCCCTCTGGTTAGGCACAGCCCGCATTAAGGGACTTGTCAGAACTAAGACCTGTGCCACCCAAAGGCCAGGGGGTGCATGTGTGGTACGGGCTGTGCAGGACCGATGACAAGCCTTGTGGCGCCCATGAGCCCAGCATGGCCTTTACCACTGGAGAGTTTGAGCCGCCTCATCTTGTTATTTCACAACAACCCAATTTCTTTATCCTTTCTCTTAGAAAAGGGAGAGAAGGCTTTATGCACAGAGGCTGAGCAGCTCTTACTTGGAAGACAGGGGTGCAAGGAACAGTAAGGTTGGAGCACTGGTGCTTCCCTGGTGCAGCAGTTCCTGGGTTCTCTAACCCTCCAGTGGGTTTTCAGAGGCCAGAAGTTGCTCGGGAGGAGACTGACTGCCGAGCTCTCTCCCAAGGAGCTGCTAGTAGATTTGAACCATTTCCACCTTTGGGTTGAGAGCACTGCTTCCTACCCACTAGGCCACCAAAGCTCCCTTTTGTTATTAGTTACCAGCAAGTTGATTCCCACTCAGGGTGACCCCACTTGTACAGAGTAGAACTGGGCCACAGGGTGTTCGGGGTTGGAGACTTTCAGGAGCAGAGTGCTGGTCTGTCTGCCGTGGCACCTCTAGGTGGTGTGGATTGCCATTTGGCCCCAAAACTTCTGGGACTAGATACTTCCCAAGTCTGTCAGTAATGGCAGTCACCCGAACAGACTGGTAGCCTAGTGCTTTCCCAGGCTTCTCCCTCCAGAGCTTCCCAGAACCAGGCCTTTACAGCTCTGCACTCAGGAGCTGCTGCCCTGATTCCCCGTAACACTGGGCTAGAGGACAAGGTCCGCTCCCTCAGCCACCCTGGTCTCTCACAGTCTCTGTTAAGCGGAAAGCCCCCTCGGGGGGAGCTGCAAACCGACTCCACTACTCACCTCCCAACTTGATTTGGGCATGACATGCTGGCCAGGCAGCCCTGTTGGCAAGCCTGGATGCCACACCCCATTGGTAAAAAAGAGAACAGGGAAAGTCCATAAACAAAGACAGACTTGTAGTTTATTTTGTATTTCTTTTTAAAATAAATACACTTTACATTAAAGAAAAAGGCCTTTGATTTGTAATTTCCACATTGGAGAGAAAAGGAAGAAAAAAACAATTTTGGAAAAACTGAATCAAAGCAGAGGGAGTGAACTTTTATCTCCTAAATTTCCTCGTCTCCACAAAACCAGTATCCACTGGGACCTTGCTGTTCCCCAGCCGGGCAGGGGGCGGTCAGTGTTTACAGCAATAGCAGTGCGTTCCCACCTCAGTGTGAAGGAAAACAATCAGCCTGACAGCACGAGGCAACCAAACAGTTTTAAAAATCATATATTTATAATAAAATAGTCTTAATCCTTATCAATTTAAGAAACCATGATTTTCCTTTTTGATTTAAATATGTGTGTAAAAATGCCTCTTCTGTTCTCTTAGACATTTTCTTTCCATAGAAAATGAAGTGCAGGGACACGAGACCTGGTGGATATAAGTTCACACCCTCAGAAATGCCTATTTTTTATTTTTCTTGTTGTGGTTTATAGTGGGGAGGGGGAGGGGTGGTGTGGTAGGGTTGGGGTTTTTTTTTGTGTTTTTTTTTTTGTTTTATAAAAAACTATTTCTTGTTCTTTAAGTAAAGAACATTATACAAAGAAAATATATTGTGAAATAGCCCCAGAGACATGTTTTGTTTTTTTTGTTCCCTTGAGGAATTATCTGTTCTTCCTGGGGTAATGGGGAGAAAGGGGTGAAGCAAAATAGGGCCTAACCCTGCCATCTTCTGTGGTGGTACTGTTTTTGGAAGGACTCTTCTGATTCAAACGAGACTCTTAAGCCATAATCCTCTGGATTCAGGGCATGCAGTTCCTTAAAAGATAGCCTGCCCTGGGGGAGAGAAAGGAGGTGTTCAGCATTCACTTGTCTCAGTTCCACTTATGAAGACTCTTGCACGCGCTGGTGGTTGAGGGCCTCTCACTCGTTTAGAGATAAGATGATGTCATCTTCCAGATCAGAGTTGTCAGAGCTGTCAG